TTAGCTAGAAAAATGAAAAATGTTAGAGATGAGAAATTGATGGATTTGTTAAAAGGGAACGTGAGCTAACATAGTGTGAGAGTAAGAGAAGCACGATAATGAAAGAGAGGCTTGCCAAGGCAAATAAAATGTGGAAGCTATAGGACCAATGCGTTGAGCTTCAAGTATTATTCAAATAAAGCTATCATTTATACTATCCAAGCGACTCTTCAACGCATGTGTATTGAGTTTTTCGAGAGATTTGCTGCTGTTTACTAAGCACTTCGATTGCTTTCTTGTTTTGATTTACTCTCCCTAATTGATTTATGAATGCAATATTACAGGGGATATTAATGAGATTTTCTCTGAAATCGAGAATTTAATGTGCAAATATTGCCATTTATGTTACATCCAAATATATTGGCTGAGTTCCTAAATGTTATTTGTTTAACAAAAAATTTTTCCGAGAAACAGTAATGATAGTTATAAATAATTTATAGTATATTTGTTATTGATTCACATTAGGATAAATGACTTTTTAGATTGAATGTATATTGTTTGTAATACCGAAAATTGACAATTTGCAAACAGTCGTACTAACTAAATGAGCTCAAGTAAATTATTCTTAAAATGCAAATGACTTTGAATATTTACATTTCTATTCAATTTGTGTCAAATTTTTTTCTTGCAGGACTTTTGTCTCATAACTCACGTATAAAAACGCAGTCACAAACAGCAGAAGCTAGTGCAGCTAACGAGGTTTTTCAACGTTGTACCGTGATAAAAATAACAAAAAAACAAAAAAAAACTGAATAAGAGAAGGAAGAGCGCCAAAGAAAAACAACACCAGTGGTATGTTTCGACAGGTGAACATTTTTTTATCGTGGCTTTGTTAATCCGTACAGCGAAGCGGCAAATTTTGCGGTAAGAGAAGCACCTCGAATGCATTATTTATAATATTCTCAGCAGCTGAACACATGTTACTGATTTGCCGTTGTTTGATTATTCCTATATAGTCGCGATACAAAGTTTTTGACACGTATACGAAGAATCTTGGAGTGGTGAGTGCGGCAAGGTCACGAGCAGCACGGGGAAGAGAGAATGCCATTAGCAATGGCTCAATTATCAGTTAGATGTGCGCGATGCATAACGAGCTGGTATGTACCTGAGAACCAGCTAATTAAGCGAAGCGTATACGCACATATCCACGTGCCGAGAGTTAGACGCGTCTACCATTGATTGGTGCGTGCGAATGGTCCGCAACATAACCTCAGAGACTATTTCGCATAATAGTCTGCTGATGCATATCCGGTGTGCAAGTGCTAATTTACAGCTGTCTATAGCTCGATGTTTACCGGACAACCGGTCCTTGTTATTGAATGTTCTCGATACAAAGGTATGTGTATGAATGTGTTTGATTAGTATATTGTATCTGATCTCCACTTCCGTAACTTTAACAATTTTTTCTGTATTACTGTTGGAGTATTTGATTTTAACAAAATATGAATTGCGCGCGGGTGTTCGAGCATTCATCCTCGTTATTTGACGGAAAATTTTTTTTCAGCAAGTCGCAGGTGAACACCGCGACTCGCAAATCGATAGCCGATCGTTACTCATGAGCGTGGCCGTCGAACGCCCCGCTCGAAACTACTTCCTACACTCTACCTATTTTACGACAGAGTGCAGAAGTGAGAAGGGGAAAAAGCGTGCTGAATAAGAAAACGATCGGCTCCTCGCGATATAAAAGGGTAGGTAAAAGTAGCGAGATATAAATTAAGTTGCATTCCCAAGATAAGCTTGAAAAAAGGAAAACGAAGAATTTTTTACGAGTATAGGAAGACGAAAAAGAAAGGGAAGGAAAGTAAGATGAAAGTTGAGAAAGTAGGTAAGTCGAAGTATTAGTACTCTCTGAAAAATGAGAGGGATTCAACGGAAGTCGTGCGCGGCATTGCGCGAACCAATTTCAGTAGTGCAAGTCCGAGTATAGCGAGTCCCCCAATCCTTTGCTTCCCTCCGCTCGGCCTCTTTTCTCCCCGCTATTATTCGCGCTTCCGCATTTCCATCCTCGTGTTTGACGGTATCCGTTTCGTCATCGATATTTCGAAAAGATTCACTCGTTTGCTGTTTTAACCTGCTTTGCCACCCTTCCACTACGGTAGACTATTACAGCCGGATCTTTCAATGATATAGCGTTTCAAAAATAATTGAAACTGCAAAATCGTACAGCGCCTCGGTTAACATTTACGTGTGTGCCTCAGCAAGTGTCATCTCGTTCCGAGACCTTTAAAATACAGTTTGTAACTTCAATTACGCAGAAGCACCGCTATGCGTCCGGAATTATGAAACGAAACGCGATTGCGTTATTAAACGTGTTTAAGGGAGAGCGAGATTACTTTTGTTTGATTATTCTGCACCGTGTGTAATGGTATCATTAGCGCGATAAATGAAAGCGTTTTGTACTAGAGTGTGTCTTAAGCCATAAAACGCAGGCTCGACGTCGGGTTATTGCGCATGTGAAATTTATTAGCCGCGCACTTGCAGACTATCATTTTTTGCTCATATTTTTAGGCATTTTTTTTGGTCCAGCTGTGGTATGTCTCGTGCATACACGACGAAATGCTTGATGTCTCGGCTTCTTTGCCGAGGACCAATTTCTTTTGGTTCTTACGTTTTAGATGACGGACAAGTTTTAGATTTAAAATGTGCAATCACTTCTCAAAGCATAAGTGATACATATGTTTTATATAGACTTAGAAGATAACATCTTCTTAATCGAACATCTTTGTGGATAGCATCATCAGCCAGTAGCACCGTAAATAGTAAATGGTGTAATTAGTATTGGCTTACTTTGATATTCTTCGAAATAAGTTATTGTACTGTAATATATGAAAATCAAAAATGTAAAAAAATGTAATCGAGTATCATTAATAAAAACTTGAAGCATATTTCTCGGCAAAAATATTTTAGTTTTATAAATCTAGCAGTGACGATTCTGATATAATAAATGGGATTACTTTGGCGTTATACAATACAGTTAGCATTAAGTTTAAACAGTTGCGTGTTGTTTTAATAAAATAATGAAGAAATAACCAGTAAGTAAGATTAGTCTAGTCATCAACGGAAGAATGAATACACACCCATAAGCGTTTGAGATGGGTTTTTTTACTTCCGCTCGGTCGTCTTTCTATTACCTAAAATTATCCTTTTAATAAAGATTACAGTAAGGCGCCGGCGTCGTAATTCAAAAGATACATAGCCAATTAAACTCGCAATGGCCATTATGCTACACTGTGCGGCGATCACTGCTCGGCTGACCCCTAGCAGAATGGCGGCGTGGCGCAGCTAATTCATGCGGAGAATCGATCGTGTGGGGACTCAAAATTTATACGCGGCCACACTCGGCCGATTGGCAATATCGCCGGTGGCTTCTTACTCGGTCCAGCTTACGCCTAGCTGCAGCCTCGGCTAATTTAGAGTCGGGTCAGCGACTGTGGTGACAGCGTAGTTTTATAGTGGGTCGTTAAGGCGTCCGCAGCCCCTCACGCTTTATCCGATGGCATTGTTTATGCAGCGAAACTTGTGCGTGAACGCCAAGTAATGATTTTTCTTCTCGTATCTCGACTCTCGTATTAGTCGCCAATGCAATATATCGTGTCATATGTCCTCGTGTCTCGCTCTAATTCGGCCTTCTAACTTTTTCATTCGCGAGACAAAAGTTTCGGTCGATATCCCCGACTGAAAGAACGAAAAAAAAGGAGAACTCACTGGTAGAAATAGGAGTGCTGAAGCTTTTGACGATTTCGAAGTGAAAGTTTTATCGTTCGTGATATTACTCTTTATCGAGATTGTTGGGCGCCCATAGCTTTAAGTATCGAAACAATAACGAGATAAATTTGATCATTGGTAAAATGTTGAGAAAAGATAACTTCGAGAGTGGAATTGAGGGAAACTTTTCTGGTTGTTTCGGAAACTTACTGCTATAGTAAAAAATATTATATCGCTGAATTACCTTGTTTTTTTAGTTAAAATCTTTTACAGTAGACGTTTTTTATTTGACAGAAATGAAAACAAATCCTTGATTTCAATATTTTATTTTGAGTTACGCATACAAAATTACAGAAATACTTATTTTAAAAAAGAACAGTACGTTCAATTCTGCATTTGAAATAATTCTTGCGGATGAATTATAATTCGGGATCACGTGAATTACGAGGTGAAGAATGACGAGTGAATGTCACGTGCCTTCGCAGTTCCCACATGACGCATCGTCAATTACGCAACACGTCCTTCTACTTAGTTTTTCACTCGTCGGCAGTAGCATATAGCTCTCCTTCTTTTGAGTATAGCTAGTCGCTTTTTACTGATCTGATGTATAGTCGCGCGTACGTGCTTCTTCAACTCTGATATCTTCGTTTTTGCTCCACGTCAGACTTTTCCTCTTGCACTAGTCTTGTGCTCGCGCTCGAGTTATTACGTTTATCGACTACAATGCTGCCATCGCTTTTTCACGACTTCTAGATTAAACTTGAAATGCAATTGATTGTGATGTCTGATATTTGCACGACATCACGAATCGCGAGTATTGCGTGGGAGGCATTGTAAGTAAGCTTTTTGGCATTCATTTTTAGACAGCTCCATGTTTATAAAATTACACGTGGATAATCAGTTACTTGCAATAAATTGCAAGTCAATGTTAACAGAAAATTACGTATTCAAAATTATGAATATACAAACGAGTTTCCTTGAGTAGCTGTGACAATTCCGACATCCGATTATAAGTACTATAGAACTTTATTTTTTAGACAATGTAGTACTGAGTTGACAGAAATGTTGAACTAGTACTCCAGTTCATAAGACACTAAAAAAAATAAAAAAATTGTTTACTAACTAACCAAGAAATGAAAGTGTATCTATTGCAATAAAATGGCCGTTCGTAGAAGCAGCTAATTGTAACAACCATCGCTGGAATTTGTAGCAAAAGCGGCTTAGCGCAAGTACATGGTCGCATTGCATTAGCCATCATGGTCATGCAGGCGTTTGAAATCGCATTATCATCAGCTTCGGTTCATTCGCGTATACTGGTCCGCGTGCGGCCGCGACGGCCGAGTTTGCGCTCTCCTGCAACAAAACGCGACGAGCAGTTAATTTAATGATCGTTCGCCGCCGCCCGCTATATGTGCACCAATAACACTGCAATTCGCTGTGCCCAGCAACAACGGCCTCTGACGCGACAACCCTCAATACAACTAATTGATTCTGTCTAAATTATACATTTTACATCTCTCTTCCTCCGTTGGCTGCTGCCTGAACTCTAGCCTCATTATGAAATTCAATTAATTATCGGTGGTTCCACGATTAATTGTATGAATTTTATCTTTTTACAGACGAAATTATTGCACTTGTTGTCTGTCGCGATTGTCATATTATCGGTTAGTACGGCAGATGCCAATAAGAAGTACAATATCTTGGCAATGATTCCGTGTAATGGTAAGAGACACTTTTACGTCGCCGAAGTATTGTTCGAAGAGCTAGCTCAGCGCGGACATAATGTGACTCTCCTTGGCCATTATCCAAAGAAAAAACCAATTCCTAATTACCATGACATAAGCATGGAGAACGAGATAGCAGATGGCGTTTATCAAAACGACATGAAGGATATATATGCTCGAGAAACCAATATTAACAAATGGCCGGTAATAAACGTTACAAATTGCAAATTACTTGTCACTACATTAAAATTCTGCATAAAATTTTTCAGTGTTGGATATTACAAGGTATGCCAAAACGTGCAGAAATAATTGCACTAGAATATGCCTAACGCGATCAATTACGCGATGATGCAGGGGCTTTACACGCTTTACGATAAACGCGGCGAACGCGTGGTAAGGCAACATTTCGGCCTAGATATACCAAGTCTGCGTGACGCCGGAACCCTCGCGAGGAAGCCAAAAGCTCTGCCGGAGGTGAGGAGCCCCATTCCGCCAGCCAAACCGAATCGTAATCTTTTCTTTTCGATTTCCCGCGGCGATTCGTGAGAGCGCTAATCGGAATGTCTTTTCCAATTAAGAAAAGCGCCGTGTTCGCAGGATTTGGAAGATTGGGCGAGGGGTGCGCGGCATGGCCTGATCTACCTGAGCCTCGGCTCGATGATCAATTCGTCGAGCGTGGCCGCGGACGAGAAGCGAACTTTCTTCGAGGCGTTCGCTCAACTGCCCCAGCGCGTGCTAATGAAATGGGATGCGGAGACGATGGCGGGGCTGCCGGAAAACGTGAGGTTGACCCGGTGGGCACCGCAGAACGACGTGCCTCGCGAGTAGAACGATTTCTCCGAAAGCTAGTTGCGCGCCGCTGCCGGTTGAAAAATGGGCCGAGCGACGAGTAATGCGCTCTCGATCTCGAATCCTCGTGATAGATCATCCGAACGTGAGGCTGTTCATCACCTACGGCGGAATGCTCAGTAGCGTCGAGGCCGTCCACGCTGGAGTTCCGACCGTCATCATACCCTTCTTTGGCGATCAACTGACTAATGGGCTACTTCTGCACGACAGGAGCTTGGGTATCGTTTTAAATTACAGGCATAAAACCAGGAACTCGATCAGCAATGCTCTCAGAGCCATTCTGTTCGACCCTAGATCCATAGAAAGGCTATTCATATAAACGCGTTATAGCAGAATAATGATATTCTGACATTCGGATTTCTACTTTTGCCAAAAGAGTCAAAAAGCTGTACGCAGCGTTCCAAGATTGACCCATGTCGCTGTACAACGAAGCCGTCTTTTGAACAGAATATTCCCTTCGCCATCAAAGTATCGGACCTAGATTATTAATCCGTTCTTCCAACGCAGATTTGAATTAAGTTCATTACTTATTACTAGACGCGTGGTGCTTTTTCGATCTGCTAACTTTATTAATCTCCTTCCTGACGTAAAGATGTGTCAAGTTCTTGTGCTATCGTTCCAATGAAACCACGAAAAAGCAAAAGCGAAGCTAGAAAACCAGAGCTACATGACAGACTTTTAATAGCAATCGTTGCAAAACGATTCATGGCAAAAGTGAGAAACAGGGGATTGTCGTTGGTTGGTTGGTTGGTTGGTTGGTCGAACGGGGAGTCGAGCCAGTTTCGCAAGCTGTTACATGATAAATGGGAATACGTCGCAGCAGTAGCAGCTGATAGTGACGGCCCGACAATATGATGGGCCGTAATGTTACGCCGATACTTCCGGTCACAGTTTCTACAAATCTGATTGACGGATTATTTTCTTTATTTATTTATTTTTTTTTTTGCTGAGAGCTGAGTGCGGATGCTTATGATGAAATGTGATCAAGCCCTTTTATAGTAGATCTTGCTTATCATCGAAATTATCATAATAATTCATTCTGAAGTAATTGTCGGAAAGAAAGGGAGTACTTCCAGCGACAATTGCCGTTTACGTAATAAGGAAAACAATCTTCCCTGACTCCCTCTCGTAACAATTCCACGACACGTAACACACGTAGTACCGTATGCGCGACAATGAAAAATCTACCATTTCTCACTGTTTCGTTATACAAGAAAGTTTCCCTCTTAAAGGTATATACCAGTCTCTCTCTCTCTCTCTCTTTCTCTCTCTCTCTCTCTCTCTCTCTCTCTCTCTCGAAGTTGTATAAATAAAGCTTCGCTCATGCTAGAAAACTGATCGTTACAGTAATAAATAATCATACTTTTTGCACCACGGATCACGAGTAATCCGCACTGCGAAAAGTATACATATACCCGCGAACATATAGCATACGTCGCCGCATGAGCGTGAACTCGTAAATCGAATTTACGCGCGGGTACGTTTGCGCGAGCTCACGTATCGATTTCTGATTCCGCGGCGACATATTTAATCTAACACTGTCGACTTCGTTCAAGTCGCTTTTTGTTATTTTTTGCTGCAATTTTTAATGAACTCGCTTGTAATGTGGGAAATAGCTTCATGCAAGTAAGGTTTATAATGACGCTTGTGACCATATAAATCCATTGTAAATGTGAAATATCAGTAATTATGATCCTGCGTATTTTTTATTACAATTGTTTACGATTTTTGTTATATTAGTTAAATCTTTCGGATTTAAAACAAGTTTTGTAATATTGTATTAAAATACTGTTATTTTCATAAAATCATATAAAAAAGAATCGAAAGTAGATCGGAAAAAGTTAAAGTGTTTCTAAGGATGTTATTTCAATTGTGACCATATCATTACTCGATAAATACGCTGCTATTCTGTAGGTATTTTAAATTGAAATAGAATTGAAGTACCATAATGCATAATAATAAAATATATAACGATACATTGTTACAAATATTAATAAATTCATATATAACACCAAAAATATAAAAAAAATCGAATTCCGAAAATTGAAAAATCTCACGTTTAAAATATTCTTCTCCGTTCTTCATTTAATAAAACACAATTTAATAAGCTCTAATGCTTCTAATTTTATCGTGTAGAACTTAAGTTATTCACTACATTATACGTACATACTACATACACGTGCGCACACACGTTAGGCATTCCTTGAAAGTATAATAATACTACATGAAAAAATAAATGTGAGAAAACAATTTTTTTATACAAACGAAACTTCCCTTTTAAGAAAGCAAAATTCAAATACCAAAAACCATTGTCCAAAGTTATTGTACACCACCAAACAATATGTATTAGACTGTAAAATTCGCATCCAATAAAAATTGAAGTATTCTTCGAAATATAAAAAGCAAGTTGAAAGTCAACTGCAGTAAGCAAAAAGCGAGAGTGACCAAACAAACCAAACAATCAATTTGTTAAGCAAATTTCTCTGGAGGCTATTCGGTGCTCTTCTCTCCCTCCCCGTAAGGCAGAGGCGACCAGAGTACAGCGTCGGGTGCGTGACCTCGCGTCGACAGGCTAAATGCGCAAAGTTTCGTTTTCTCTCTCTCTCTCTCTCTCTCACAACACAATCGCAAGCTAGCACGCGCGTGCAGAAACAACGTTGTACACCGAGTTTCCGTGGCTGTCTAGCTCTTTCTATGCTTGTCTGTGTGCGCGCTCACGAGAGAGAGAGAGAGAGAGAGAGAGAGAGAGAGAGAGACAGATAGACAGACACACAAAAAGGTTGAAACTACCTAATGGGAATAGTTGCTGCTAACTTTCGCCGCGGGAAATTAGACGCGAGCGCACGCTGTTTAATGCAACGCGAATCCGCCCCGGAATGCAGCCGTTGCCGCCACGTTTATACTACTTTCGCCCGGCGAACTGAACGCCTAGTATGAGAGAGTTTCTTCGTATCTAGAAATAGTTTAGAGCGAGTTGATTTACGAGCTCCTTGCTGAATTTTTTTTCAAAGAGCGCGCGCTCGCGACTTCGAGTCGCGTTCACGTCGCGTTGAATGTTGCGCACCCTATAGGTGTTAATTACTTCACAACCATGCCGAAAGCTTCATTTGTCATAGCTCGTCCAATGCTTGCTCGTTTAGAATTACACCGAGGCTATCATCCGTAAACGCTGCGTTTATTGTTGCCACTGGATTGCAGTTATACAGATGCAATTCGACGTGTTTTAGTTGTGCGCGAATGCATTATTCAGTTTTACTCGAATTACTTTAGTGGTAATAATTTCGTTCGGTAAATGCATCACGATTTCTACTTCGGCGCGTATGTGTATTAAATAGTTCTTAACAATGGCAACGTATATTTATATTTCGGCTGATATTCGCGTGACGCCATCGAGTGCCATCAAATTATGGAATGCAAGCGACGATCGGTATTCGCGAAGTAAAAGAAAATTTGAATTTTCAATCACTGCAATCAAATAAAATTACATGTATTACAATAGCCGTACGAATTGAACGTTCAAGGGTCAATTTCGCGTTGAAAGCTTTTCGCATTAAGGCTTTCCGGCAAACTTTACAGATTACTGTTTTTACTCGCTTTTTCCTGCGAAAATCCATTAGCGTATTACAAACGTTCGCGACTTGGAGTCACTTAACGTTCCACTTTTCGAGCTAATGCAGGGTATAGAAAGCACCATCGGATTTCCCTTTGCTTTTTTAACTACGCTAGAGAATTATAAATATCCGTATTAATGCTGAAAAATGATGTTTTCATTCGCCAAATACATTTATGGAGAAAGTACAGATACTCGTGACTAGTTTAAAAAATCAGCATGACTAAAATACTTGGTAAAAATCCCTTCGGTGATTAACATCACCGGCTATTCATAAACCTCTTTTAAAGAAAGATTGTGTATCTTTGGTTTCATATAAAGGGTATGCGAATACTTGTTTTTCTGTTTCAACTTTATTCCATCGGCTTTGATTTTTCTATGTAATAGCAATGCTCCACTTTCAAATTATTCACGTTTCCACGCTGAGGTTAAGTTATTTGTAGCTTGCGGTTGCCTCTCAAGTCGAGCTGTCTGTATCGAACGCTGAAATTCTGTAGCAAGTAACACGTACCGACGAATTCACGAACGTTCGAAGTTATGAAAGGAATAGTATGATGCCTTCATATGAGAGTTGATTGTGACTCTACCTTTGGAAAATCAAGTGAAAAGAAGCAAGTATAATTATAGTTCGGGCAGTAAGTAACAGTTATACAGTTGCCATCAATATTTAGGATAACGAGAATGAATTCACAGTATTCCGGCAGGATCAATAGTACGTCAGTTGAAAAATGTGACATTGGGTATATTTGCTGCACAATCCATATTTCCATATTTTAAGTTGAAAAATATTGTCCATTTGTCAATCGAAGTTTCATCATACACGCTGGCTAATGTTTTTAAAGGCGACTTGGGATATATTATTAGTTTTTCAAAAATACCGTTGCAGTTCTTTCCATAAGGCGAAAATAAGTTTGTCACTGCTAAAAGATACGACGTTGCCTGTTTCGAGTTCTCTAGAATACGTCTCAGTATCTAACATGATTTTACAGAAGTAGGCGTCGTCGTGATCTAGAAACTTCACGCACCACTTCCACTTGGGAGAATGATTATTCTTATCGGACACGTGCACACACACACACACACACACACACACAAAAGGAGCGGCACCATTTTCTTGATTACCCAAGTTAGACCATGGAACACGAGCGTTAATGCATTGGAAAATTCGATTGAATTGTACATCTTCGGTAGCTGCACTCGCGTTATCTAATTAAATTACTTGAAACGCCGTTGATAACTTTCTCCATTATTCAAGTGCTACGAAAGACACGACGAAGTTTGCGTTCTCAGCTCTCATTAAGACTCATCCTGCTGAAGCATCAGAAATCATGAATGCAAAGGTCCGCACGTCGGGTAGCCAGCTCAGTGGTTCGCATTCGGTCGACGGATGTGTGTATCGCCACGGGGACTTTAACGGATACCAGGTCGCGGCAACTGCTGTCGTTGCTAAATTGCTCACGTCCCTCGCGGGCCTGGATTGAACGAGCAATTAAGCCTCGCGGCTGAAACCATACCGCTGCCCGCCCTCATCGCTCTTTCGCTCTATCCCTTTTTTTCCTATTTTATTCCGAGGGTGTATTTTATTTTTTGCGGGAGACACGGAGCTTTTTCAATAGAGCTTTTCCAAGATCCATATTGGATGTATTCTCAGTGTCAGCAGCTCCGATAGCAAAACATTAAGATTTCAGGAGTTTGCGGGTATGCGTTGTCCGATATATAACGGGCCGATGGCTCACGCGCAAGCTCGAGCGCGCGTCGGCAGCTTGCGTTCTGCGAGCGGGAGCACCGCATGCGCCAGGTTGGCACGGGTCGCGCCGCCGAGCAGAGCTCAGTCGCGCGCGCGCAGGCCGGTAGATCGGCCACGGCAGAGTGAGTGAGAGAGAGAGAGATAGAGAGAAAGAGAGAGAGAGAGAGAGAGAAAGCAGTCAGCCCTCTCTCGTTCTGCATGGGAGCTTTTTTCAAACTGCCGATCGACGCTTCGCAAGCCCTCGCACGGAAACGATCGAATGACATTTTCACGCTATGCGCGCACGGTAAACGAAGCTCTCGCTGCCTCGTCATTATCGTGATTTGAGTAGTGACGTAAGCGCCCGGCGCGATGCTCGGATGTTCGCGAATGAAAATGAAGGCCGAGCGCGTGAAGTTGGACAAGGCGGTTAGTGAGACGGCCGGCAGTGTTGTCAGCGGGACAAGGATAAGTTGGTAGCAGCGGCAACGGCAGGCTGATGGATGGCAGTAGGAGACAGCAGCGGCATACAATCAGAGGGCCATTGTGATGCGTCGAAGCAGCACACGATCATCATCCCATCCAGCGAGCTGCTGCTGTCAAGCGGACGTGGCAAGCTGTAATCGAGGTTAGTTGCTTGCACCTGCAGTTGCACCGCCACGCTGCTGCGTTTAACGCGCGCGCCACTGCTACCTTAGTCGCGGACGCCGGTTCGGCTTAGCAGCCTCTTCGCTCAAGCACCTTCACGTTTCTCTCTCTCTCTCTCAACGGCGTCTAACGCTGGCAATTTATAATTTGCTTGCTCGTGAAAGCTTGCGGAATATTCCACGTTTGAAAGCGACGTCGCGTCGACTGCACTTTTTTGCAGCGCGTAATGAAACAAATGAGCTACGGCGCACGCATTTCTCGATGTCCCATACCACGTAACGTGCAGTCGATAAAAAGAAAACTTATTGGCGACGTGAGATAACGTATAATAGCAAAATCACACATTTCACTACCGTACACATACAATATACGTAAAGTCGCGCCGGATCATTGTATACGATATTGACGATTGATGGGATTTTGCGTAGTATGCAGGAAGTAGAGCAGGGAGTGAAAAAAAGCGAGGGAGAGAGAGAGAAAGAGAGAGAGAGAGAGAGAGCGAGAAGCAGGCGGGAAAGAAATTTATTTCTAGAATAAATATACATCGCGAGGAAGTCACGTGCAAGCGCTCGCAAGAGTACGTATTACAATAGTTGATGGCTCGTTTATGCGGAAGACGATGATGAAAAAAGTTTGTCGCTTGTACTCTCTTTCTTTTTCTCTCTCGTGTGACTTTTAAATTATACCAACGGCGTGCTGGGCGACTTCATTCTTTTCTGTCTCTATTTATCAGAAATAAGCGTGCTTGTTTGCCCAGTTTTTGATCTGCAAGTTATCGCGCTTTGAGATAACAATTTACCGGAGCGTCCGTCTCCCGTCGGATTTATTTTTGGCCGGTTCGAATTTCTTCGCTGTTGGGATCGAGATTAATATCCAACGTTTTTATCAGTCGTGTTTATGTCTAGATCGAGCAAAAAACCAAACTGCGAGTTCATCAATACAGAGACACATAAAAGTTTGCTTCGAGCTTGTCAGCCAGATCATAAATAAAAATTGTTCTCGGAATAACCTCTCACTTGAGAAATAACCGCGAGCGAGAAAAAAAATTGGCTCAAAGGATAGGGCGTCGAATTAATAAACAAAGCACGTCCTCGAACTCCTTCAAACTTGCCATGGGAAAGTATAAGAAGCAAGTGAAGAGAAAGAGAGAGAGAGAGAGAGAGAGAGAGAGAGAGAGAGAGAAAAAACAAGTCCGCAGCGAAATATTGCAGACTCGCGATCTTCGGGCGCGAATTCGAGCCAAAGCCGCTTCTTCTTAGTTTCGTTTCGTTTCGTTTTCTTTTACTTGATCCGGGTGGGAGGGAGTCTCTGCAGAGATGTATATCGCGGCCCGATAGCCGCCGGATATACAGTGGACTCTCTGGAAAAAGGGTTTATCGTACGCTGCTGGACGCATCGAATTTCACGAGCGGTCGACTGCTCCGATCGATTCGCTGTGCTCCCAGCGAGAAAAAAATAGCGATGCAACTCCCTTTGTGTTAGTAGCGCTGCTGCTGTTGCTTCATTGAAGAGAACGCTCGTATTATTGCGAGGCTCAATTATGGTGGTAAAGCTTCGTTAAGTGCGTGAGGTGGTTTGTGTCTGCGGTGGCCTGGACGCGACTATGTACGGATCTTTTTGATTTTCCACGAGGCTGCATTTTGTTCGCCCCTCGCGCGTCCACCGCGAGAGTGGCATTTTATTGAATTTTAATCACTGAACAATTGCTTTCCTTTATTTTCCGCGGTGAGGCTCTTTTGCTGTTTTATTTTTCCTGCCGCCTCTCTCTCTCTCTCCGAGGTTCATTCGCGTCCGTTATTGTTTTCTTTAATTGCTATATCAATTATGAAACTCTGGATGAACACACGCTTAAGAATCTGAAATAGTTTTTATTTAGTTCCCGTTTCAACATAAAAACTTGTACTCGTAAGTGCTATAACACGCAAGTGTATTAAAACTTTCCGGAAGGGGAGGACACAAACGAGTTTGATTGGCCGAGCGTTGATTTTCTACGAGTGCTCTCTGTAGCAGAGAGCTAGGTTAGGAGAGTCAGACAAAGACAAACAGGATTTCATAACTTGCCAAAGCACGTAAGCCGCTTATCAGTTTTCGTCCTGGCGCACGTATATCTTTTCCAGTCGGCGCGCGTCCTAAGGCTGCGAGACAACTGCCAAGACTGCGTTTCCTTCTCACTTGTTCTTTGCTCCCCGCCGCGCGGTCTTTAAACGTGGCGGGAGAGAAGCGCCAACTTGCCTGCAAAACTATGCAGATAATGATTTACTCCTGACGGTTCTCCGTGAAATGTACATTTCTTTTGATGTCTGCTGATAAGCGAATATTTTGTTTCGGCTGATTTCCATTTCGCGGATAGATGCTTTTTAGTAAGGGACGCAGTCCGATGTTTGGATAAAAGTAACGTTTAAAATCAATGCAAAGGCTGCTACGGTACAAATCAATGGTATTATACTCTGCGTCTCTCGGCTATAACTGTACTTGATGCTTCGGTGACAAATAAAATAGCACAGCTAACTCGGATTATGCAGCTTAACCCCGCAGTATAATGTTGTAATTGTTGGCGAACAAAAGCTCCGCCAACTATACACGCGTAGTCGCTGTTCATTTTCACAAAGCGTGTAGTTTGAAAACGACGGTTCGTTGACTCTGAATCCATTCGGTAATGAGCTAAAATTTATGCAATTACCCGAGCTACAGAATTTTTCTTGCAAGAAACCGAATACTCATTTGCAAGCTTAAACGATTTTTGCAAAGCCGCTAAGCTCGTAAAAAATAGAAGAAAAAAAACAGTCTCGCAAGGCAAACTAGATCCTCGAAAAAAGAAAATAAATAAAATAAGAAGCAGGAGAAAGTCGTTATTCTCGAAAGAGTATGGCTTTTGAGCGTTAAAGTCGTAGGGGTTGTCGCTGGGTTGTACGTCGAATGGAAATTCGTTTGACCGAGGGAAACACTGACTGCGGCGTACTGGGGCAAAATAACACACGTCGTCTTTCTTGCGAAGCGCGCTTGTCCGCAGTGCAGTTTCTTGGAAGGTTATTGAGGTCATGCCTCAACGGACAGATGTTCGAAGATAAATCCTTTATAATGAGACGGTATTATAGGGTCAGCAGGATATTTTCGGGCTAATTGAGGGATAGAGAAAAACAGACAATAGCGAGGACGTTTGTGAAAGCTCTCAGGAGCAGATTCCCTCCTTTTTCTTCGTACGTCGAGGGAAGTAGAACGACTTGACGTTCTTTCATTGGGAGAGTAACGATCGCTCGTTCATTCTCCGTTAACTTTGTTATAAATCTATTAGGACTGCGAATGTTCCTCGTTGTAACGGTGTACGAGGATCTATCGAATTCATCCTGACGTATTTTAAAATACTGTCGCGTTCGCTTCGTTATTATCGTCAAATTGTCAATGAATACAAAAGCTCGATAATAATATACGTATCGAGCGATGAATTTGTCGATTAATCGCGTCGAAAGGTATTATTCCCTTCTCGCAAGCAGGAATAAACTGGCTACGCACAAGCGAGGATACACCAGATATCAGGAGGCAACGTATTGGGGCGGAAACGTTGTACAGCCAAGTGTAGACGATGGGTCAGATAAGGCGTGTGTACACACGCCGATATCCACTATACGAGAGCGAGAGAGAGAGAGAGAGAGATTAGCTTGTGCGTCTGGCAAGTCATGTGTACCCCCTGACCCTGCGCTTTAATTATGACGCACCGTTGGACGAGAGATCGAAAGCCCGAACCTCCCCTCTGTCTCTATACACAAGCTGGTTGCACGCAGTATACATATAATTGAATTTCTATTGATAATGCTGACTGCTTTGCGCGCCGTGTACTTTACCTTATTTTTTAGCAGAGAGAGAAAGAGAATGAGAGGGAGAGGGAGGAGAGAGAGAGAGATCCACCAAAGAAATTATGCATGCGTAAACTGCAAAGAGCACTCCACGCGCAACTCGTTATATGACCTTTGGTCGACGTCACGTACGTAGCTGCATACATACGAGTAGAACTCGCTGGTGTCGTACGACAGAGAGCGTGGATTATAACTGGGGCAGTTCGCAAAGTTTGCCTGCGCCGTGCGACGAGCTCGTTTACTCGCGCGCTTGGCTGGACTTTTCCAAAGGAATGACGAGAGATTGCGTTTACGCCGAGGCGACCTGTAATTTATTCGAATGCAATCATCAACCGTAAGATTTTCTTCTATTTCCTCTCTCTCTCTCTCTCTTTCTCTCTCTCTCTCTCTTTCTCTCTCTCTCTCGCGCTTTCTTGTTTGCGCAAAATGTATTTCGATTGTATTGATATTTTTATGAGAACGAATCAATGTCTTTGGATAATTGCGATTATTTGTTGTTGTACTGTTATTTCGAGCGTTGAGGTAGTGTTTCTATTGAAAGTGATATTTCATTTGAATGCTACTTTGATACAATCAATGAACAGGTTTTAACTCTTTCGCTGCAGATGAATCCGCGAAAATGATAGCGTTCACTTGCTGACTATCCCCACCAATAAGCTTACAATTTCTGCACATAAAGCCGAAAACGTTTGGAGTAAAAAGTCGAGAGGAGAGAGAGGGCTACGATGAAAAGCCTGTTAGTTACAAGCGGGAGCCATGCGAGAAGAAGTAAAAGAGACACGAGCCACGTATATAACAAAAGAATCGAACTGTAGGCCGCTGATTAAAGGCGAGAAGCGCAAACCGACGTACGCGAGGCAGCAAGCGAAACACCTAAGGGCTGCCGCTGTCAAAGGGCTAAGAGCAAAAGTCATTTCCCGTGTCGATTATCGAGTGGGCTTTGACTGTCGCCGACTCTCCTGCTTGCTTGCTCGCACGTTCACTAGCTCACTGACCACTTGCAAATGTGCAAATGGCAGCAATGTACAAAGCTGCTCCCACAGCTTTTGCCGAGCTTTTTTCGGGGGCACGCGCCACTTTGTCATTCCTTAGGCGTGTCTCTTTTGCTCTACCAGTGACAGAATTGAGT